GGTGAGAATTAAAATTAAATTTAAAAAAATTAAAAAAGAAAACCTACAGAATGGGAGAAAATATTTGCAAATTATACATCTGGTAAGAAACTTGTATCCAAAATATAGAGAGAGCTCTTCAATTTAACAATAAATAGAAAACCTAGATTAAAATTTGGCAAGTAATTTGAATAGACATTTCTTTTTTTCTTTTTCTTTTTTTTAAATATATTTCATTGATTTTTTCACAGAGAGGAAGAGAGAGAGATAGTTAGAAACATCGATGAGAGAGAATCATTGATCAGCTGCCTCTTGCACACCCCCTTTTGGGGGTGTGCCTGCAACCAAGGTACATGCCCTTGACCGGAATCAAACTTGGGACCTTTCAGTCCGCAGGCTGACGCTCTATCCACTGAGCCAAACTGGTTTCAGCTGAATAGACATTTCTAATAGACAAACAGTCAAGAAGCACATAGGAAAATACTCAAAATTAGTACTCATTAGAGAAATGCAAATAAAACCCACAGTGAGATATCACTTGACACTCACTGGAATGGCTATAATGATGATTTTTTTTATTTTTTTAAATATATTTTATTGATTTTTTTACAGAGGGGAAGGGACAGGGCTAGAGGGCTAGAAACATCGATGAGAGAGAAACATCGATGAGAGAGAAACACCGGGGATGTGCCCGCAACCAATGTACATGCCCTTGACGGGAATGGAACCTGGCAGACGCTCTATCCACTGAGCCAAACCAGTTTCGGCAATAATGATTTTTTTTATAAAGCAATAACAAGTATCGACAAGAAGGTAGAGAAATTAGGAACCTCATACCTTGTTGGCAGAAATATCACTTTGGAAAACAGAGTAGCAGTTCCTCAATATATTAAGCATATAGTTACCATTTGACACATTGATTCCTCTCTGTATAAAGAAATGCCCATCAATCGATGGTTGGATAAACAAAATATGGTATATTTATACAATTGAATATTGTTTGACAATAAAAAGGAATGAAGTACAAATACATGATGCAATATAGGTAAAAACATTATGCTGAGTGAAAGAAGACAGTCTTGTATAATTCCCTTTATTGGGAATGAGCAAAATAGGCTAATCAATAGACATAGAAGGCAGATTAATAATTGGCAAGTGCTGTAAAACTTGGAGAATGGAGACTAATTGCTTATGAGTTCTAGGTTTCTTTTTGGGGGTAATGAAAATGTTCAGAAATTAGATACTGGTGATAGTCATACACCTCCATAAATATATAAAAGCCACTGAATTATATGCTTTAAAAAGAAAAATTTTATGTTATATTAATTATATCTTAATAAAACTGTATTTTTTAAAAAAACTATTACACAAGGTATTTTGATGGTAAACGCCAAAAAGAGGGATTTCAGATGATAGAAACATTATTTCTAGATTGGGAGGTAGGTTGAATGTTTATGAAAGAAGTGTGTTTGAGTTGAATGGCTTTTAGGGAAGATGAAGATTTGGATATGTAGTTATTTCTAAAAGGAAGAATTCCGAGTCCCAGAATTTAATATGAGATAAGGTGGGAATGTCTTTGAAATGGAAGTTGTAGTTCGGCTTAGCATTTATATGTGACCTGTGAAAAATTTAATCCAAGACATAATTAGAGGGCTGGTTGGACCCAGATTAGGGGGAATCTTAAATGCCAAAATAAGGAATTCTCTGCTGAATTTGATTAGCTCCAGGAAGTTGCTTAAAAATTACACACCTTCCCAGCCTGTGTGGCTCAGTGGTTGAGCATTGACCCAGGAACCAAAAGTTCCTCAGTTCTATTTCAGGTCAGGGCACATGCCTGGGTTATGTAATGGGCTCTATCCCCAGTAGGGGGCATGGAGGAGGAAGCCCATCTATGTCTCTCTCTCATCAATGTATCTATTTCTCTATCTCTGTCCCTCCCTTTCTAAAATCATAAAAACATACACAGTGGAACCTCGTTTCTCAAATATCTCCCTCTCTAACAATTCATTTAACCTGACAACCCTTTCATGCTGATATCTGTATGATCAATCACGCATCTCTCAGGTGACAAAAGAGAGAATGAGTGAATATGAGTCAGTTTACCACAGTTAAAAATCTCAGGAAATCATACTGTGAATATTTTCATGTCTTTTTGCTTTTGTTGCTGCTTATAGTTATTAAATTTTCATTTTTTACTGTATATTTTCTTTCCTTTTTGTTAAATTTTCATTTACATTTCATATCCTTTTTGTTTTTAAAGTGTTTATAGATTAAACAGTACAATAGACATGTGCTATATATAAGAAAGGTTAAAAAGGAATCTTTTGGGGGTCTGGAAATGATTAATTCAATTTACATAATTTCTAATAGGAAAAAATGATTCATTTTTTGAATAGCCTTCCAGAATGGTTTAAAGTAGAGAAATGAGGTTCCATTGTATTTTAAGAATTTGACACACCTCAGAGCTTTATATTAGAAAAATTAATCAGCAGCAGAGTGCTGCATTGAATGGAAGGGAGAGAGCTCACCTGTGAAGATACTGTTAGGAGTCTGTTGACATTGGTTTGAGAAGAAGGCTATCCTCTTTTAAATTACCTAAAATTGGAATTACTTTGATTAACGTTCTAGACCTTCTGATACCAACTTAGTGAATTTTAAAAGCCTAACATGCACATGTTACTCTACTTCATTTCCTGGGAAAATGAATCACAATTTCCTAGTAAAGAGCTTTCTGGCGTATTAAACAATTGCTAGGCCTACCCATTCAATTCAGCTCCTTTTTCTTCTTTGGCTCGCCATCTGTGTTATTGTTTTTATTTTCTTTCCTTCCTCCCTTTCCTTTTTCTCTCTTCCTTTTGTTCCTGAGTCTTCTGTCTCCCTTTCCTTTAGCTTTCCCTCCCCACCTCCAATCATGAGACAATTTAGAGAAAATTATCAGTATTATTTTTTATATAACATAAAGAAAGCTTATATTGGCTATATAAAGACAAGAGAATGAAGAAATCTTTCCATAACACCATATAGATGGTGTCAAGGAACATATTTATGGAAAATATGCTACTATTGATGAAAATTTTTCCAGATAAATTTTGTATTAAGTGAAAATTCTTTCAAGCCTTTAACTTCAGATTTCATGAGGATCTCAGCATTCCCATTTGTGTCTTGCCATTAAAGTCTTCTCTGCAAGTTTTATGTCTTCTGCTTTGATGTCCTGAATAGCAAACTTAAGACCCTAACTGTGCTTCAAGTACTGCATTGTAAGTGGCTACCACATTCCTGAGACATAGGGAACTAAAAGATTGTCAGCATTTCAGAGGTTTAAGATGAGGTTATCTAAATTTTCCCAACTATATGGTTTTCTACCAAACACTTTTGTTCTTGGATTACATTGATAAGGACATTTAAAAGATGGCTACAGGCATTTTTTAAAAATATATTTTATTGATTTTTACAGAGAGGAAGGGAGAGAGAGAGCTAGAAACGTCGATGAGAGAGAAACATCGACCAGCTGCCTCTTGCACACCCCCTACCGGGGATGTGCCCGCAACCAATGTACATGCCCCTGACCGGAATCGAACCTGGGACCTTTCAGTCCGCAGACCAACAACGCTCTACCGCTGAGCCAAACCGGTTTCGGTTTCGGCTACAGGCATTTTTTTCAAGGTTAGATTTTCCAGTATGGACATGAAGTTAGACTGTTTGCTGCAGTGGGTATACAGATAGAGTTATCCAAACTCAGAAGGAAGCCTGTCTCTTTAAAGAGTTAAGTCAGGCTCTGTTTGTTTTTGATTTGCAGAGAGTGTTGGTAGGGTGGCTAAAGACAACACTGGTGTATGGGTTGGTTCTTTTACGCTCTACAAGTTAAGTTTGTGTTGAATATTGAAGACTAATATTGAAGGCTAATGCTGTGATATCCTGAGAGAAGGGGAAAGAGGCAAGGAGGGGTAGAAAGTAGGAGGATAGGGGCCCAGGCCCTGGCCAGGTTTGGAGTCAGGGAAGGCAACTTTGTTTCCTTTAACTGAATTTATTGGGGTGACTTTGGTTCACAAAACCATAGGGTTTCAGGTGTATAACTCAAAACATCATCTGCATGCTGCATCGTGTGGCCATCACCCAAGCAAAGTCTCTTTTCATCCCCATCCCCTCAATTTGCTCACCTCTATCTATCCCCACCTACTTTCCAGGAGGGCTACTTTTGAATCTTAGCTCTGTCACTTTGTTTCTGAGTTTGAGTTTTATCAACATAAGATGAGGTGGTTGGGAAGATCTGATTTATTATAAATGTTGAGTCCTGTGGAGATTTTGGAGAGTTTGCCATGCATATTTTAGTGATAACATTTTAATGATATATATAGTAGTTTAAGACTCTGCATTTTGTGTAAGTATGGTTCAAGAAGTATGATGTTCTGAATAAATTACATAAACTTTGGTTTGTGAAACCTGGTTGTGGCTGATCCTCAGTAAATGGAAATCAGTTGTAGTCCAGAAGTTTATGCTCAAGGTGGTGCTGTTTCCCCATATATTTGGTGATGTTTTGCATTATATCCCTATGTGTTCTAAGCCAAGCAAATAACAGTGTGTATATTTAGGACTGTGTTTGTCTTCTATAGTCCGCAGGCCTTCGTACCTTGTGGGACCCCACCCAATATCACATCCTAGAAATACTTCATATTTACTATGACTTACATGTGAGAGTTGTCATAATAAATTAGTTGATCTGTTATGTTTTTAAAGTCATTTATTAAAATGGAACTTTAAACTTTACAGCTTTCTTTTTGTATTTTGGAGTCAATTATGTTTTTAAGTCTAAACTGTGAAAAGCTTATAGGCCCTGGTTCCTAATGGAATAAAGGCCCTATAGTGCAAGGGAAGATACACATGATGAACTTCAGTTTTGCTAATAATCTGTGTCAGGACCGTCATATGAATTGTTTCCAGCTTGTTTGAAACGACACATGTGTTTTATAGGTGTGGTCATTCCGAGCTTGATATGAATATTTTTTTGTTTTGCTTGTTTTTAGATCCGGGGATTTCTGTCAAGATTTGATAATGTCCTTCCTGTCAGCCTGGCATTTGACAAATGTACAGCTTGTTCTTCCAAAGTAAGTCATTCAACAATTAAAGGACTTGTCTTTTAAAATAAGCCCATCAGCCTTACCAATCAGAGGCATTCTAACCAACTGAGGACTTTCTGGGGGAAAGGTGAGAGTCTTAAAAAAAAAAAACCAGAAAGGAGTTTTCATTTATCTGTATTCATTCTCATAGTAACCAGCCTGAGACAATGGGACTTATGGAGTATGTGCACAGAGAGAGGTGGAATCAGATACTTTAGTTCTGCATCAGTGCTTGCATCTGGTAATTTTGGCTTGAACTTGATCTCCACTAGTCTTTGTTCTTCCCCAGAGAGTTCCTCCCTCCCATTGACCATCATAGAGCAACTTTTTTTTTTTTTTTTAATTGAATTTGCTGGGGTGATATTGGTTCACAAAACCATATAGGTTTCAAGACCATATAGGTTTCAAGTGTACAACTCAATAAAACATCATCTGCATATTGCACCATGCACCATTGCCCCAAGCAAAGTCTTTTCTGTCCCCACCCCACCTCCACCTACCCCCACCCCACTTTCCCTCTGGCTGTCATCACACTGTTGTCTGTGCCTGTGTGTTACATCATAGAGCAACTTTTAAGTGTTACTCTGAGGGTGGGCGGTTTGGTGGTGTGTGCTTTGGAGAGCTATATAATGACAAGGAAGAGTAAATGGAGATTAGGGGCCTGGAGGGTGAGCCAGTAAAAGTTCAGCTTTGATCTTTCCAGAGGCTCTAAAAATAGAGCTGGTATGTTCTTCATTGTAATAGGAAACCGGCTGATATATCTCAAAACTACAGTGATGGCATCTCATTTTTAAATAGGCTTTGAGATAGTCTGGGTTATTTTTACATGTATGCTGTGTATTATAGCTAATTTCCTTTCGAATGTCTCTTTAAGCTTCTAATCTCCAGTGATTTAACCTGAGCTTTTAAAACTCAGGATTTTTTAAATAAAACTTTCATGTTCAGATATTATACAAAATGGTGTTGGGGTCATTAATCCCAAAGTCTGGCCTCTCAGTTATAATTTGGGACTTCTTTTGCTGAGTAGCCTGTATCTGGCAGTATAGAAGGAATTAAGTTCTGGAGAAATTCTCTTTACTCTGAGTTGACAAGCCTTTGAAAACTTCACTTGGGTCATATCTTATGAGAAGAATAATTCTGACCAGTTTCTCTAAAAAGCTAACTCAGACTTGACAATAGTGTTGATAAATTTCGTTACTTTTAGGTGTTCAGAAATTTATATTAGAAATTTAATTTTTTTCTTCAAATGTAAACTAGCTCCTGTTTTATCAAGTGCCTGTGTTGAAATTTAAAGCATACCATTTGTCAGTAGTTACTCATGAGCACACTCTTTCTACAGTTTCTTTAAGGTATCATATCTGCTCAAGTCAGGATCACAAGGATGTTACTGTGCACTTCTGTCTTCAGAAATGCAAGTTTTAGGATTATATGCTTTTTAATGGAGCACATTTCTTTTCTTTGAATGGCTGAGCTAATTGGTCTCAAAATAATTTGGCGATAGAAACATAATTCTCATATAGAAATATAATTTTCATATAGAAATGGTTTGGCACTGGTGCCAGTTCTGTGGCTTTATATAGATCTGGCTAATCAATGAAATAAAGGTAATTGGGCTCTCTAAATTAAATGTAAACATTCATTCTTTCTTGTTCTATTTCTAATTAAGTTAGCCTCTAAGGTACTGTTTATAAAAGAACTACAAGCGTACCACCTAACTGAGGTCCCTTATATTTTTTGAGAAAGAATAGCTTTGCATTTTGTTTTCACACTATTATAAGCATTGCATTAAATATATGTATCCCTTTTTGTTAGCAAAATTATTTCCTCTTGGTGGCCATTTGTAGAGGCCTGCTTTACATAAACATGCTGGACGATTTAATACAAACTGACTTGGATTTTAACAGCTGTGCTATTCCCATAGCGATCACTTTTCATGTGGTCAGGTATTAAATTTCTTTTGTGCTGGAAAGGTTGCTTCATTGGTACACGTATTTCCTTACAGTAGAAACACAGCATTTACTTACTTGGCTAACTTCTTTATTCGCATGGGAGAATGTCATTCTCTATTATCTGCAAACCCAACATTAATACTTTGAAATGACAAATCCAATTACATTTTCATCTTGGTGCATGTGAATTTTTCTTAATGCATACTTAGCATAATATTTTTATACTGAGTCATATAATAGTTATTGTTTCAAAAAGATTTTTGAGGGCTAAAAATGACTTGAAAATTTCTCTTTTGACATCTATGAAGTAATTTTTCTTGGGTTGTTTTCAGTATTTTTTCCCCCTAGAACTGAGGCTATACTTATCTTGATTTAACCACAAATACAGAAAGATTGGGGAGGTAAATAAGCTCAGCTCAGTAATAATGTTCTTGTTCGTGTGTGTGTGTGTGTGTGTGTGTGTGTGTGTGTGTGTGTGTGTATACACCTTTTATAAGGCCTGAGTGTGGAAAAATATAACTCTCTGCTTCCATAGCAGGGAAGGCGGAATCATCTACATGTAAATCATCCTTACCCTGTTTGATTTTAGCTTGGCATATAGCCAGGAGAATTGTTCTGTCTTACAGAAAAACTATTGAAGAATCTGGAGGGAGGGGAATGGTGAGGAGTTACTTTCATTCCAATTTTTGTTGATTACATTGAGAAATTTTTTTAAATGACAGTATTGACCACTGGGACTTCAAAAAACCCTATAGGAAGGTACATGAGTTGTTTTTTTAGTTCTAAAAAGGAACTTAGAACCAACTAGAGTTTTGTGGAATTACTACCAGAGGAAAAAGTATCATTTTGAAACAAGTGTATTCTTGTTATTAGCCTTTCACCTAAATATTTTTTTGGGAAGTTATATTTATTTTGCTTTTTTGATAATTTTCTGTTTTGATGTAATTTTAAGTTGCAAGAATAGTACAAGGAATTCCTGTATAACCTTTACTCAGATTCACCAATTGTTTACATTTTCTCCATTTGTACTTGTGGGGTCCCTTTCCTCCCTGATCCTACACTCTCCTGTCTCTTAAAACTTTGAGAGTACGTAGGAGTCCTTGTGGTCATTTAAAATTAAATACTTCAGTGTATTTCCTAAGAACAAGGATATTCTCTTATCTAAACACAACACTCTTATCAAATTCAGGCAATTTAATGTTTATATAATACTATTCTCTAATCCACAGTTTATATTTCAACTGTTGCTATTTGAATCAGTAGTGTCCTTTATAGGTTTTCCCTCCTAGATCAGGATCTGATTTAGCATCAAGCAATTGCATTTAATTGTCATGTCTCTTTGGCTTCCTTTTAATCTGGAAAAGTTTCTTAGCCTTTCTTTGTCTTTGTTAACTTCAGTATTCTGATTTCTTTTTATTGAATAAATATTGTTCCGATTATTACATTTGTTCCTCTTTTTTTCCCCTCCATAGCTCCCCTCCACCAGGTTCCTACCCTACCCTCTGCCCTTACACCACCCCCACTGTCCTCATCCGTAGGTGTATGATTTTTGTTCAGTCTCTTCCCTTACCCCCAATTCCCCTTTTCCCCGAGAATCGTCCGTCCACTCCCTTTCTATACCCCTGATTCTATTATATTCACCAGTTAATACTGTTCATCAGATTTTTTATTCCCTTGGTTTTTAGATTCACTTGTTGATAGTTATGTATTGGTTTTTCATAATTTTTATCTTTATCCTCTTCTTCCTCCTCTTCTTAAAGAATACCTTTCAGCATTTAAAATATTCTGGTTTGGTGGTGATGAACTCCTTTAGATTTTTTTGTGAAGCTCTTTATTTGGCCTTCAATTCTGAATGATAGCTTTCCTGGGTAGAGTAATCTTGGTTGTAGGTTCTTGCTATTCATCACTTGGAATATTTCTTGCCATTCTGTCTGGCCTGACTTGGGCCCTGGTCACGGTTCATACAGGAAGCAACCAATCTGTTTTTCTCTCACGTCAGTGTTTCTCTCTCTCTTTCCCTCTCTTCCACTCTCCCTAAAAATCAATGGAAAAATATCCTCAGGTGAGGATTACCAACAACAACAAAGACATTGAATATTTTTAAATTACACCAGAAAGTTCTCTTGTACCCCTTCCCAATCAGTCTTGGGTGAACAGGGCAGTATGTTGAATATTGTGACCATTCTCTTTCCCTATAAGGAGAAAGCCAGCACTTTCCAGTATTTTATGCAATAATAGTCTTGTTTCTGGAACCCAGAAGTTGTCTAGAAACTTCTCTCAGATCTGCAGTCAGGAGCAATACTGGTAGGGAGAGGGCGAGTAGGAATCACGTTAGCTTTTATGATCGTTTAGTAAATTATACTTTCTTTTTGCTTTTGTCATACCCAGCCTATCCATTTATCTTTTTATATTATATAATCCTACCTTTTTTCCTGTCATAATTCTTTGTAAATTATAAAGCATGAGATATAAATACTGTTTAAACTTTAAGAAAAAACTCTGTCCCCAAGCAACCTATTGCCTAAGATTTCTGCAAATGTACCATTTAGAGGATAAAAAGACAAATCATAGATTGTGAAGGAAAGGTTAAACTCTTACTGTATATTTGTTAGCAGACATTCATTTATTCAGTTGGCATTTAAGGCCCTGCTGGGTGCCAAAGATAGAAAGATTCAAATAGGGGAGCTGCCGAAACCGGTTTGGCTCAATGGATAGAGCGTCGGCTTGGGGACTGAAAGGTCCCAGGTTCGATTCTGGTCAAGGGCATGTACCTTGGTTGCGGGCATATCCCCAGTAGGGGGTGTGCAAGAGGCAGCTGATCGATGATTCTCTCTCATCGATGTTTCTAACTCTCTATCCCTCTCTCTTCCTCTCTGTACAAAATCAATAAAATATATTTAAAAAAAAAAAAAAAGAAAGAAAGAAAGAAAGATTCAAATAGCCACTGCCCTCAAGGAACTTTGGGCGAGACAGACATATAAGCCAGTGATGATTTTCCTTATATTTTGACATGCCCTGCATTCCATGTATATCCTCTTA